CCTCGCTTCATTTTTCGACGGTTCGTTTTTACATCGCCCAACAGTGTAATGCTTTGGTTCAGCATTTGATGTTTCTCGCAACACTGCCTTCGTCGATCTAGTTTCTCTGTTTGGAAAGTTTTCTCAGTTTTTCACGTATATTTCTGTACGCTGTCGTCAGTCCTCTGTTGTGAATACATTTGCATTGTAATGTAAAGTGTTGTAACACCACTTCTCGGGTCTTGAAACATATCGTTTTTTTTCTAGAAACGCTTATATGTGAAAATAAATTCTCAGTTTTTCGAGCTACAGTTATCTTCAGTCTTATTAGGATGTAAATTTTTATTATAGCCAACTATTCAACATTATCAGCTTAGTCTGCGATATGCCCTCTGCCCTCTATATATTAGACTTAAAACTAATTTTCGCAAGTGCTTTCATAACTCAGTTCTCTTTGGATATGGCGCACTCAAACTTTGTCAATATGTAGAGCGTAATGTTGGCTAAAAGTTCCCAAAACAGTTTAAATTTTAAAAACAATTAGAAAATTTCCAGGCATTTTTCCCGAAACTACTGAATTTTGAGAATTTTTGGGGTTATAAGCCAAAATGAAGCCGTAGCAGCCTAGACCATGCGCAATAATTCGGAATCGTGTACGAATTGTTGCTAGAGGTTGACTCATTTGGCTCACCAAGAAAGAAGTAAAATTTAGGGGCAAGTCATGATTTGGCACCCTCACAAAGTCGCTGTACCCAAGCTCTGTGGGGGGGGGGGGGGACCACCGTCAATGACTAAGGAGTTTCCGAGCTCCCCGAGCTTACATACTGAGGCTCTTTGACCTGCTAAACACAAATATTATATTCATTTGTTGAATGCACGTCTCTTTCCTTGTTTAGGATGAGACCCTATATCGTACACATACAGTAATCTTATAAAAAAACCCTTATCATGCAACTTCAGTATCGTTCTCGTGATCAGCATGTTGGATAACCCCTCTATGCCAAGTTTCGGCCAAATCTGTTAAATTTTATGATTTTTCTCTCTATACCGTACACCTATCGTAACCCTCTGTGCGACGTCGGGATTTGCTAGAACAGCAGCTGTGCTTGTAGCTTACGTCATAACCAAACAATGGCAAAATTTGAGTGCGCCATGTTGAGTGAGAGATTATCAAAGAGTTGCAAAACTTAGTTTCTAACCTAATATTTAATTGTTAATTAATCATTTACATGCAGATGACCAGGAATTTTCTGAGCTATAGGTAAAATGGGCCACCTCTCATCGCTAGACTTTGAATGAAGCTCACTTTTGTTACTTTAATTTACTTTTATTTAGAAATTTCAACTTTTTTAAAGTCAAAAACTCTCGTAACTCGGACAGAGTTCACGCGATTTGATCGTCGCGATTTAATCGCCGCGATTTTCATTTTCTATTTTACATATAAGAATTTCGAGCTGGAAAAGTATCACAACCGAAATGCAAGCTGATCGGCATGCAATGAACTCGTAACAGTTGCCTTGTAGCGATTGAATCGCGACGATCAAATCGCGTGAATTCTGTCCGAGGTTTTAGGCAGTGGCTTTGATGCTTAGCTCAAATCTGATTATCTTTTCAAGTTAGTAAGAGGCATTTTAATGGATCCAAAACGGACATAATCACATCCCTAATCTACTATATCATCTATACTCTATTTTCTTTCCAACTCGCTGCTACAAATTGACAACCCGATTGCTTTGAAAGCAGAAAAATCAGTTTTTCAGTGTGACCTCAACTGTTATTTCCCGTTCCTCTATATGTCTTCATAATCCTTAAGTCGAATTTTTCCTTATAACTGATCATATTATTTTCGAAACTGCATCCAAATCTCTTTCCAGTCAAATCCATTTTATCCAACATAATTTACACACTTGTAAAAGCACTTTAATTATTTTTTGTTGATTTCCACCTAGCTTCCTTTCGTTAGTACATTTGCTAATAAAATCTTTCAGTCCTGCAGAAGCCAGATGTGCGTTATCAAATGAAACACTTTTTCCAATTCTTATCTTTACTCTTGCATTTTTACTGCTAAAGACTTGAGTTACATAGCGCCGGTGGTTATCAGCGAAAACAACGTGAAGGTACGTAGCAAGAATTTATTGATATGAGCCTCTGATGAAAACTTCGTTGACAAATTTCCCTGTGGCGTAAATCTTCGGATTTGAATATTAATAGGAATGTTTTTGCGAATCGCACTATTTCTGTTCGGAGCGATCCGCAGAGACTATTTGTTTCGATGAGAATTGTGACATAATTTGAATAATGTCAAAAACTACCGTTGCGCCAGAGTTTGCATTACACGCCTTCTGTACAACTTGGTTTTCTTCCTAGCGGTTGCTAATTGTAAGATTCCTTAATGCCCCAGCAAGGAGTTCAAGTTTTTGACCTGCCCTCCTTTGAACGCTTTTGCGAACTTCCAAGCCCTTTACGATACACTCCTATTTTTGTTGAGAAAATGTTTCGAGCCTTATTATCTTCAGTGACACAATTAGCCTACACAAAGAGAAAGCTGATTACTGAAGTGATGTATAATTTTCGATCATATTTTCGATATCCTTTTCTTTTCAAAGTTTTTTTGGACGGCTTTCTGTGATATCATCTAAATTTCTTAACTTGCTGGCTGAATGCATGTCGCGGTCACACAAATACTTTATTTCATTGATTTTTACTGCTTTATTTTTATATTATGGTATTATTTTTATGTTTTAGTACATTTTCTACTCTGAAAAGCTAAGATGCAGATCCAGCCATTCTACGATCTTGTTGACAAAAGGTGAAATTCAAAGCTCAGAAGCGTCTCTCTATGCGCAGCCACTTGTAAGCCGTTCAAAGATCAGAGGGTTCCTCAGTGACTGAAGATTATTTGCTTAGCAAGAAAAGATCGGTAACAGAATCGTGACCCCGTTTTTGCAAACGGCTTTTTTTTTGTCCAATAAGGTTCTACCTTCTTAATTCTTCTATGGAGCACAAACCATTGAAATTCGAAAAAATGTATAGGATGAAGTTCTACATATTTGAAATTGTAGTTTGCTTGAGTAACACTGATATTGCATGTTCAAATCGACAAGAATGAGCAGAAAATGGAGGGGAAAAGGAGCTTATTCAAGATGGCTATAAGATAGAAGCATGGCTAAATTGAAACAGTATTAGCAGACTTACAACAATCAAGGAGAAAAAAGATAAATAGGTACATCTAGACAATTTTTTTCCAAACAGTCATCAAGGAAGTCGCTTATATATTCTTGTATCTTTGAGCGTTCTGATTATAAACATTAGAAGAATGGCCGCTGGCATCACAAATACTCAAACATGCCCAGGTTTTATTTGAATTAGCCAAATTTTCGCACCATTTTTGCACAAATTCTGGTATCGCCGGACCATCGCCTCTTTTGCGTAAATGTCTCGACTGTCATAATATTTAACAACTTGAATCCTCACAATCAGGCAAAGATTGCAAAAGGCAAGGACCAAGCTCTGTCCCCCCATCATTTTCATGAATTCATTTGAAGCAAACTTATTGTTATTGGTGCCGCTTCTATCGTGATTTTTTCATTTACGAATGCTCTGGAATGCGATGTTCCTGACACTTATTGAACCGAGCGACCAGCGCCGTGATCAGAACTCGATCCATGCTGAATAATAGCATTACGAATCGCTGCTGGCACAATGGGAACCCATTGCTCCCATTCTAGTGGTGCCTTGATCAATGCTGCAAGGTTCTAGAGTATTTTCTGTAATTCTCAGTTTTTGACTCATCCTTGGATAGTTCTTATGATCGCGGTCTAATCAAAGTATTCTGCACAGCGTTTATTAGGTGGGACGATTCGTGCAATTAGGTTGTGTTCTTCAGAAAAATACTCCAAACTTTGACCTTCCACATGGAATGAGTCCTAACCAATATTTATGCAATTGCACAAATTTGATCGACTGCTGGTTCGCGGATAAAATAATAAATTTGTGAAGTAGCGGTATTTTTGCAAACCTTGGGAGGGCAGACCATAATTCAGTCGCCACACATAGTGTTCGAATACCCCATCTTTCCTTTGTAAACCTATACAAAATGACTTTTGGAAGCCTCTAGCTTCTGCGCATTCTGTGCTTTTCATATGGTATGATTTTCTTTCAATTCTGCACTTATTTGGATCTTTTTCAAAGAATATTCTATTTGAGGCATTTTTAATTCCACTTGCTAATCACGGATTTTTTGCTCAGTTATCGCGTGTCGCGAAACATGTATAGGGCGTTCGAAAAATCGTGACGATGCGCTACCGCGCGCGACACGCACGTACGCTCTGCAATCGCATTTTCTTGGTCTTCATCTCTACTGGAGTGGCTTTTCTGCTGACATATGATAGTATTTGAACACTGGAGGTGACTGAGCTGAGAGTTTAGGTATGGCTTTTTGTATGATTGGTTACTGCTCCTGTGGGCGCGAAGACCGCGGTCAAATTCGTCGTCACGATTTTATGAACGACTTATACTTTTTAGTACGGCTAAATATCATAATGCATCATCCCTCATATTCTCAGACTCAAGAGAATAATGTCTATAGATAGCAGCGTAAGGACGGCGTCCAGACGTCATGTCTCTGCGAGCTCCGTCCAGCTCCGTGCTAACCCCGTGGCGGAATGTCCGATCAATAAGGGAGCCGTCCGCGTGCTTTCCGGGACGACGCTGGAACGGCGCTGGCACGGAAAGCTGGCAGTGCCTAACTGCAGATAACCATTTGTTTTGGTTATGCATAGATCAGAGCACGTTTACTGAGCTTTACACTTAGTGAATAAAATCTGTTTGGTAAGTACATAGTGCGAGCTTGCCCTTGCAATATGACGGCATAGAAACTCGTTGTGTTTCCATCGAATTTGTTCTTTCTGAAATGTACCTACATAATACCTCATATGCAATCGTGTGCAATCGATCATTCGCAACGGATTTCCTGATTGAAATTCAGTGACCGACTTTGTATTGTTTTCCTACCTCGCTCATGGAATACGACTTTTGCAATGCCTTACTATATTAATTCAATTGCAGATTTATATGGCGACATTGAATCTTTCCACCTTTAAATATCCGCTTGGATTTATACGCATCGTAGAATTTGTGAGTATTTTTACTTACTTATGCACACTATAATTATGTGAAATCTTAATTGATTGAAGGCTTATAAATCTTGATTTTGATGAATGTTTGGTCAAAAAGCCGTTGATATAGTGTTCTTGCGTTGTCGACAACCTTTACACAAAAACAGTGATAATATTCGCTCTACGGCTATTTTTACGCGCCAATCGCAAGCAAACTGATGGCATATACAATCGTGGTGTTTGTATTCGTGCAAATGTTGTCATCACTGCAAGAACACTATATTAACCACCAAACCTGCTGAAATGCAAATTGTTATGTATTTTTCAGTTGTTCATAATCATAGCCATAGCGTCTGTCAACAGTTGGAAAGTAGGCCTAGATTACGATTGTCCAGATGGTACGAAACATAGAGCCAGTGTTGCCACGTTTAGGTAAGTTGAGTGCTTTATGAAATTTTGCTTTAGTTAAGACACTTCTTTTTTAGCTTGTCACAAGCCGTTATTGAGGACTGCAAAAATTCAACTTCAACTCTTTGGGGATCTGACGATAGTGCCTCTGGGTAAGGAGCATCCCATAAAGAGTAAAGTGCTGTTGTTGTCTATAGTAGTTAATCAGTTAATTTAAAATAGTTTGACTTTGATCTGTGAGAACAAATCTCGACAGCGTTTTTAAAACATTTTGTTTCGAATTAATTCTCGATTTTCGCACCTCATACATACAGCATTGAATTTTGAAGATGCCTTCAGAGCTCGTGGGTTTTTTTTACATATCTTTATAGTGGTTGGGAGTAATCCTCAAGTTTTCGAGAAAAGCGCATGATTTCGGTCATTCTCTAGGATAATTTTTTTCCACATAGCTTCTATGTTTGATGAATGAAAATGGCGAGCTCCTCCGTTCCCAATTCTTCAGAGTCCCTCCCAGTTGCTAATATAACATCTTGGAAATACAATTGTATACCACATGGCGCTCTGGTTAATGAGAGTCTATACAGTTTCAAGTGCCGAAAAAAAGGGGCATAATCTATGAAAACCTAATATCTCGATTATCACACAGTCGCTGTCGCCTTTTTATACCCCTCGTTAGTGCGTTTCGAGAGTGACTTGTTGTTATAACATAGATATGATTGAAAGTTTCTTTCGCTCTTTGGATAGCCCACTAAACAATTTGTAAAGCAATTCTCTGGGAGAATTTTTGCACATGTAAATTATTCTGCAAATGTAGATTTTTTTTCCAAACAAGCATTGCAAGACATATTGTAAATTTGCTTTTTCAATACTGTTATTTCAGTAGTGCGGGATTCTTCTATTTTGTCAACGTTGCCGCTTTGATCTATGTACTCATCATCACCTTCATCTACGTTGTATTTTGGCCTGTGTACGAATCGGAGAAGAGACTGGCATTAGTGGTTAGTTGCTAGCTATCTCTATATTTTTCTCATCATTTTATCAAGTTTCTGACGACAGATAATTTTTGCAAGAATTCTAGGACCTGGCTCTAACTGCGCTTCTATTTGTGTTGTTCTTCTTTTGTTCTGCAACTTGGTGGGCAGGATCAAATACGCTTGGGTATGCAACAGGGTAAGAATTTTGCTAGTTTATTTTTTTGATTTTTTTCTAAACATATACTTTGCAGGGAAGAACGTGTCACTCAACTGATGAAGGAAAATCCCTCATTCTGGAAAAACAGCACCACTAACGACCTGCACCTAATGCGAGATACTAGCAACGGAAAGCTAACCATATCAGTTGTGAGTGTATGACCTACAATTTAGTTTGACAGCGACAGTAGTGCAGCTGCGGTGCTGACAACACTTGTGCGTAAGTGGACATTGAGTGCGCATCTCCAGGCTTTGCGTCCCATTAACGACTTTTTACGCGAAAACGTTGTCGGCACTGCAAATACACCATTTTGTCAATTATATTGGAATAAACATGCCACTCTAAGTCTGTATGAGATCTGCACATTTCAGTTATGCGACTGGGTCTGTGTCTTCACATTTGCGATGAACTGCTGGTTCATCTGGAAGGAGGTAGTGCCAAGACCCCAAACAAATCCATCACAAGTTGCCTAACTGATCTGCTATTGAGCTTTGCCATGTCTTTGTTGTTTATTATCTGATTTTGTTAAACTTTATGTTTTTTCTTTGCAGTTTATCGGATGCATTAATAAACTATGTACAGTACCAAATATTTCTCGTTACCTCTCGGTGACCGAGTAAAATGATTACTTTTTTTCCAAACAAAATTATTCTGATCCACGGTTTATCGCGAATGTGCGTAGCTTGCTTATGGGCAATTTTGACATGATTAAGCCATTGTTGAAGTTGACCCAAATAAATAGTGACCGAGACTGAACACCCTCGCCAAGACCGCACTCTTTGGTAGAACCAATCAGCTTCTTCGAGTACGGTACGTGGATCAATCTGTTGTGCAAAGGTGCGATATAGGCGAGTTTCTGGAGGAATTGTCTGCTGCAAAGGACTTCTTCAAGCTGAACCTTGGGCAAGGGTTAAAGGCAGCGGACAGGCAAAATGGACCCCTGTCAGATTTTGGTAGTTTCGGGTAGTGGACCCCCTAAGTACACCGTAGCCCCAACCCCACATTCCAATTCATGCGCTAAGTCCTGAAAAAAGCGCTTCAAAACTCCACCAGCCCCGCCCACTTCCATTGAGTGGGCGTTATTGGTGGAAGTTTGAAGCGCTTTTTTCAGGACCTAGCGCATCAACTGGAAGTTGGGGTTGGGGCTACGGTGTAATTGGGGGGTCCACTACCCGAAACTACCAAAATCTGACAGGGGTCCATTTTGCCTGTCTACTGCCTTTAAGTTTAGGGGGGGGGGAGATGCAAGGAAGAAGGAGAGGGTCGCCCGTTATTAAATAATCAATCTCTTCAACTTTAAGGGCCGCATGCATTAATCCCCGCTGGGGAGGGGATCGCAACTCAAAAGAAAAGCTTTATATCCTAAGGTCCAGATTGGATTTCACGTTGTCTACCTGTCCGTAAGTATTCCTACTATTCTTCATTATGAACATATTGAACAGAGGCAAGAAGCTGTACAAGCCGCATTTCAGCTTTTTGTATGATACCCTGATGATCCCCGGGGGGACGGACAATTTCATTCTTTAAAGTCATTTCTCTTTCTTCAAAGTCAATGAAAACATCCCAAAGTTGCGCGATCCCCTCTTCAGCGGGGATGTTAATGCATGCGGCCCTAAGTCAGATTGGACATATGAAAATGAAAAGATCCAACGAAAATTTTGCGAGGTATTGCTAGCCAATACCTACTCATTAGAATTTTTTTGTCGCCCCCTCATTCCCTTCCCCCCCTCCCCATAATCTTTGAAATGTCGATGCTTCAAATGTATAGCATTGTAGAGAACAATTGTTCCTTTTTTTCCATTTGAACTCAAAATCAGGAATCGCTGCACACTGTCAGTCATTGCGACATTTCCCTAAGGCTTGACCAGACCTCATGCGATCATTCGCGACGCGATTTGACAATACCCCCATGGTCAAAAATTCATCGCGCGCGCTCTAAATGCGCAGAGGATAAGGGGCATTTTATCAATTTACGAATGTTGTAAGATTTGCATTTGCGGTATACTAGTGTTGGATTCAAGGACACCTGGAGATTCCCCAACTCGCGTGGTGACTAAATTTGCACGAGATATGGCCAAGGCCTTAGTCGTTCCCGATTGCCTCGGCGAATCCTGCGCACCCGTTAAATCAACCTGTAAACTTTAGTATTACAAATTCGTATATCACCGTAGCAAAACAAGCTGGCAGTCTGATTCCACATTATGCATGTTGCACAGCATTTCCCCTCCAGTTTTTAGCCTGATTTCTAATCAAGCAACAATCCCTAAAGGGCCGGGCATACTTTACGCGATTTCAATCGCGACGCGATTTGGCAATTCGCCAGAAGTCTTCGGATTCAACATTAGCAAACTGCACATGCATAGTGTGTATAACTTACGTAAACTGATGAAATGCCCTATCTTCTGTACATTTATAATGTGCTTACAATGACTTATGGACACCTGGAATATTGCCAAATCGTGTCGCGATTGAAATCGCTTGAAGTATGCCCGGCCCTTAAGGCCCCGGACAGACTTCACGCGATTTGATCGTCGCGACTTCGCGACGAGACAACTGTTACAACATCATTCCATGCCGATCAACTTGCATTTCGGTTGTGATACTTTTCCAGCCCGAAATTTTTGAATGTGAAATGAAAATGAATGGAAATGTCGGCGACTGAGTCGCGACGATCAAATCGCGTGAAGTCTGTCCGGGGCCTAAGAGTAAGAATGTTGATCATTGATATGTTGTGAATAACCTGAGGTAACATGAACGAGGTAAGGATAGCACTTTCAAGCACTTTCATTCTTTTTCTACATTGATAGAGATAATGTTGTTAGCCTTCCTCAGATTTGTTACGCCTCTCCTAGTTTGGCCCATTATTGCGGGTGAGGGAATTCGCCGCTTTTATGTCTTACATAAAGGCTATTTATCGCTAAACGCGTCAAAAACGCTGTTCAAGGTAAAAGAGGAGGCAGACCAAGACCAAGACCACCACGAAGGAAAAGCGGAACGCGGCCCTCCCGCCCAGTCAGCTGCTTTCTCAAATGTTATGAAGTTATGATATAGTGGTGACAAGATTGAGGTTCACTTTGCCGCTGATAACGGTGTTACTGTTGAAGTTACCAGTGATATCAGACTACCAACGTTGCGCAGGAGTTGTTTATGTGCGGCCACCGCTTCCCGTGTCAGAATCCCCTTCGATGTCTTCAATGATCGATGCACGATGCTGGCACGAACAACTGTGTGCACAGTATTACTGAAGACCTAAGCGATGGTCATTTCTCGCGAAAATGAGCCAAAGAACCATTTCATCATTCTTTTTCGCATTCAAAACTGTCCCTTTCACCGAATTCTAATAATAAAACTGCCTCGCAAATAGCCTTTTCTATGACATCAATTCATTGAGGCTTCGGAAGCATTTTTGAGGACCAGTCGAAACCAAAAATGGACGTCTTTTTCTAACGTGACCACCCCTTTTCCTCGTACTCTGATTGAGGTCGATGTTCTTGGATTTCAAAGGCAGCGTCCGGGCAAAATATGGAACAAAATTTTTTCGTGCTCCTTTTGTGCGACAGTGAAATCTCAAAACCCCAACTTAGTTCGAACACTGCCTTTAAGATTCTACATGAATACAGAATTTAGGAAAGCCGAAAGTCTAAAAAGAGATTAGTGTACAAAAAAACATGGGTCAAGACATTGATTGCCGAAGATTCGCTCTCGTATAGCTAAAACCTATCCATAGGCATACAAATTTTCTATCAACTTGTTTATTAAGATTGGTTAATTTATTCAAATTTTGTGGGGTTTCAACCCGAAAGTCGAAGTCGAATGTTATTGTTTCCATGTAAATTCTATGCCTTATGCCTCGAAAATATAGGTCCAGTCAACAATCTCGCATCATATAGTATCATTTTGCTTAGAACGATCAGTATAATGCATTATAGAGGTCCGGCAAACCGAAGTCGAGAGCAAAGCCAAAGAAAGGAAAACAGCCGAAGTCGGGGGCGAAAAAGGGAAAGTCTAAATCCAGTAAAAAGGAAGGGAAGAAGAAAGCAAAATCAAAAAAGGAAAAAAAGAGGGGAAGCGCAAGAGAGAAGAAAGGTATAAAAGGTGTTAATCTACTGACTCTAAAGTTTGCTTGAAATTGTAGCTACGTTCAAACAACAGCATTTTAGGTGCTGAGGGCTCTCAATTGCCCGAATCTGCTGATGGTGGAGACGGAAGTACACCAGAGTCCAAACCAGCTGAGGAGGATAAAGTTGAAGAAGCTGCAGCTGGCGACGAAGAAAAAACACATGAAGGTATGGCCGACCACCAAAGTATTAAAGGCTAGCCAGGAGCGAAGACGAATGCCCACATGTTTCCAAATTCACAGAAACGAGTTTTTACTTTCATGTTAGAGCGGATGACAGCGGACGAAATGATGCAGATGAATGAATACGCAAAGAAAAGCGATTTTCAAGCCGCTAAAGAATTGAATGCAAAAATTACCATTGATATGTTGAAGGTATGGACAGACACTTTATCCATATATGCAAAATACAGGGTGTCCCAAAAAAATGTTTAGAACGTTTGATCGTTAATATCTCTCTTCCCAAGAAGTCTTTTGCCTTGCTTTAGGTACCGTTTTGTAGAGCTGGCTTCATCTTAGATTTCCATTATAGAACGAATCACCCATCTCTCTTCATTACTGTAGGGTTACGGTAGAAACTTGGAACATATGGTGTCAATGTGGAGAAAGCTGCCGTTTCGAAATTTTTCAAAAAATTGTGAAAACTTGTGTAATAGGGTTTTTATAGACGCTGAGTTCAATACTCAACTATTCACAAGATTACGAAGCTTTCTAAACGGTGTAATCGCATTTTTTAGGAACGTTGAAAAAAAAGGCCGCTACCTCTCACCTGGCATAACTCTCCAATGAAGTATCATAATAAGTTGGGAACTTTACAGTCATAATCAGCAATTCTAATTAGCCTGGTGTAAAAGTTTTCAGGCTGTTTTGTTTCCTTTCTGAGGCAAAATATGGCCTTTCATGGTTCAAAACCCTCTTTGAAGTTTCTACCGTAACCCTACAGTAATGAAGAGAGATGGGTGATTCGTTATATAATGGAAATCTAAGTCGAAACCAGCTCCACAAAACGGTACCTGAAGCAAGGTAAAAGACTTCTTGGGAAGAAATATAAACGATCAAACGTTCTAAACATTTTTTTGGGACACCCTGTAGATGGCTCTTTAGAAAGAAGATGGGGAGCAGTACTTTACTTCGGGACGATTTGGAGCAGTATTTCTGTTGCCGGGCGTGACTGAGCTACCGAAAAGCGAAGCGGAATCAGAAGCACAAAGTCAAATGAATTGAAGATTTAGGGCATTTCAAATGATCATTTACAAGCTGAAATCGATACAAATTTATTGATTTTTTCAGCTATTAAAAATTTGCTTATTCAACCCAAGAACTTCTATTGTAATGGCTAGGATCCCAGATACCTATTTCAGCAGAAGCAAAACAAAAATCATAATTTCTTGACCTGCGATCTTCCCACTTGTTTATTGATAAGCATATGTCCAACATTTACAAGAACAAAGAACAAAGAATGCGAAGAATTATTAGAAGAATTATCAGAACAAAGAATGTGTTTAGATCTGCCCATATGCCAATTCCGTGCTAGCGCGTGCCAGTGCAGACATATACGCGCTCCATACTGATTGATCGACGCTGGCACGGCGGAAAGGGCAACTCTAGACATAGCCATAAACGCCTTGTAGCTTTTTTTTGCAGAGAATCTGTAAGAAAGCCTCCGTATCAGCAGAGCTGCAATGGCTTCCAGAAACCACAGCAAAATATAGGAACCATAAGAATTGTGAGGGTACCATTGAAAAGAAAAAAGGGCTTTTCAAAGGACAATAATTGTTGAAAGATATGGTCTCGTAGGATACGTTTGCTGCGGCATCCGTCTAGTGACCTTAGGACTCCAAAATCCTATAATCATGAAATTACTGGACAACGTCAGATTGCTTCAAAATGATATTTAAGCTTTACATTCTCGAACGTTACTAGAAATGCATATTACATGTATCATTAATCCCTTGAAAAATCCTATGAGTCAAGAACAGCCACTTCAGAATGTAAAAAATGACTAGATGAGAGTAATTATTAACATGCCAAAACAAACATTGCAAAGCTAATAGACTTGGATCACACCTCTAGAATGAGAAGACAAATATTCAAATTCAATTTGAGCCCAAAAATGATTCATTAAAACATGGTAAATGGAGTCAAAGAGAGGATCAATAGAGCGGAAAACTTCTATCAACTTCCGTTGCCCAACCCTCATAGCCGCCTTCGATATCACGTACACGAAGTGGCTTGAGCTTCTCTTTGAGGAGTTCCACAGCAATCTGAGAATCGTTACCACGATGACAGATTACGAATACTGTAAGATAGCTATTATAGGAATGTAAGCCAAGATGTAATCTCCCCATTCGCAACTTACCTTCTTCGCAGTTGTCGATATCAAGCCCCAGTTTCTCACGGATAGAGGCAGGGTCGAGTTGCCGTAGACTTTCCAAAGTGAGATCTATTTTCAAACAATTGAACAAAATCAAAAAGTCCAATCCATTCTGTGTTCTCACTTTTGGCTTCAACCAATGACGCGATTTTAAACTCGTGTGGAGGCCGTGTATCTACCAGGACTGGTTTATGACCGGAGCTCCTAATGACAGAATAATCAAAAGGGGAGATTCTGTCCCTTTGTTCCAGCAACTGCAACCGTTGCACCTGAAAAAAAGAATAAAATTTTAAATACGCCATTACTATGAAACGCTACCTTGTCGCATGCTCGGGAACCACAGAAATTTTCATAATCAATGAGCTTAGTTATAGATGGGCTATCACCACAGACAGCACATTCTTTATTTCGTGGCCGAAGAGCGATGGTACGTGATTTGCCGGACTTTCCATCAAAGAGATATAACTTTGAAGAGAAACTAGCTGAAAACTCCATATGCAAATGTCAAAATGAATTATTGCCCAACTCACGCTCAAGCTTTGCTGCAATTTTGAGGACTTCAAGTGCTTGCAAGCTGCCTATGACTCCCACAACTGGTCCAAGAACACCGCCTTCACTGCAGTTCGTGACATGGTTCGGACTGGGTGGTATCGGGAAAAGACATCGATAACATGGTCCTTTCTGAAAACTAGCACAGAAAACTGTGAAATTTTATGCCAAACAAGGTCCCTTTTTAAAGTCTTTCACCTTACGCTTTCGCCTAGCAATGAAGAGTACCAGACAAGCGAAGTACTTATCATTTAACTTTTAAGACAAAATAACCACCAAAAAATGAAACTGCTGACTGAAAAAGAAAAAGGGAAGCTATGAGAATGATAGCAACTTCAAAGCATACTGGGTTGCAAAAACAACGAAACAAGCAGAATGTGTTTGCAAGCATGTACCCTGGGCAAAAAACGCGACATGTTAGCTTGGCACCAGAAACATCAAGTAAAAGCGGCATAGAGCCTTACCTTTCCAGCATCATCAACATAGTTATAAACGATTAGCTGTCCTTCCCATCTTAATGCACTTCCACTTACTAGAGGTTTCTCGAGAAGAACACAAGAATCATTGATAAGGTACCTAAAAATGAGAGAATTGTGCGATTAGTAGGAACACTGTACGTCACTTCGCAGTCGTAATTGCCAATACTTCACAAATAGCCAGCAAAATTGCTCAAGTCATTGAGAAATGGCAGAATGTCCAGCTTAACTTGAAAAGAAGATAGAAAACTATCCAAGGTCGACTGGGTTTGCGCTCAATCGTAGGCGAAAATCGCACTATTCAAACGTTAAAGGATGCAGTAATGACGATGCCTATACAACATACAAGCAATTTCAATCTCTCAGGAGTCAAACGTGCCTTGTTGCAGGATTATCAGAGCAATCCACCACGATATCATACGGTTTCACGATATCCAAAGCAGAGTTCCTATCGAGCAAAATGTTATGCGTAATCACATTGACGGAGCTGTTGAGCCTAAAAAAGAGAGAACCCTTCGCTTGAGAGTGGCGAATGTATGTACAGATTATCTACCTACTCAAGCATTGATTGTTTGAGCGAATTCACTTTCGCAGTCCCAACTGAATTTTCTTTATGTGCTATTTGTCTATGGAGATTGTCTAGGGCAACCTGAATCGAAGCCACATTCTACTTATATGTGCAAAAGGGCAAATTCCTACAGTAGGATGCTGATGGGGCCCATCTATATAGAGGCCTTCGTGGAGGGCCCCTTCACTGAGATGCGGCCTACAAGAACCAACCTTCCCTTCCCTCCCCTCCTCCCCACCTATGGCTGACTATAGTTGCAAGGTTATCTTAACCATCCCACATTTCCTATACGGAATAGTGAATTCTCCCGCAGTAATATGTTAGTCACAAACGCACAGCATATGCGCCATAAATCTTTCAGTTATGGTAAGAAAAATCGTCATGCGTGAAGGCACTGTCCACCTCTGAGTTTGTTGGAATTCGATACAATACGATAGCGAGACCTTTTACTATAAAGCGCTGAAGTCCCGCCTCAAAAGGCGTATGCCGAAGCGAGAGAAGTCGCTCTAGATGATGGATGCGGCAGAGGTCGCCTCACCCGTCACCAACGTTGGTGGTCTAGACGGTTGAACAAACTGGTTCCCACGGTTCTGCAGATGTCGCAAATCTGTCGTTCACTACTGAAAGCGGTTTTCTATTTTTTAAGAAGTTCATTTCCAACTTCGGGCTCATTTTTGAGCACCCACGCTGATAAGTTGCCGCGGGACTTGAACAGTCATGTAGCTAAGGGCCGCTATTGCGCTGGATCAAAATTTCAACAAACTCAGACCATCAACTTTGATGGCAATATCTTCTCCAACTCGTCAGATGGCCGAGAGAAGATTTAAAGCAGGTTGAGAAGCAGTCTCCAAATATGAGACTGTGCTCTCATAAAAGAGAAGGTGAATAACATTATATTATAGACACATGTAAAGCTTGAGACTTACTTCATCATAATCGACTATACCAATCGTATGCACTCCAGCCCCCGCGAGATACATAGCGACAGGGCAGCCTAATCCACCAGCTCCAACCACAAGAACCTTGGCAGAGCAAACGCGTTCTTGACCTGTGATTCACCAAAGTAAGCATTCCGTTTTGCTGAGAAGTATTAACGGGCATCCAAAGCAGGAATAAAAATATTCTGGGGCTCACCCTCTACTCCAAAATCCTCCAGAAGTAACTGTCGACTGTACCTTGACACCTGCTCCTTGGTGAGGGAATGCTTCATAGATGGATCTTGGCAGTAATACAAACTTAGAGTCACTGAAACAAATAGTTTGATGCCGCGCCAAAACAGTTCCACACCACCATCCGAGCAATTTGTCGAACTGTACGAATTGCCATGAGAAGATATGATCAAACAGCTAATGTATTGAAAAGTCAAAAAAGGTGCAAATGTTTTCACACGTCTATAAACTCTTCTAGGCATTTTCCTTAAATTCTAGGTGCGACATATCCACAAATTTGATGCGAATTTTCAAAATGGAATGATGACCGTAGATTTCGCTGCTTGTGGGGAGACTGCACAACCCATTTTCTTTACGCCAAAAGGTGCAAAGTCAGTGCTTTTTCTTCCAAAGCGAAAGCTATTTGTTGTTTATTTTGGTGCTTGAGTAAGCTCAACTTGTAAATTAAGTCGATAATTTGCTATTTTTCAGATGCTGAGGGCATGCGGATCGAGGTCGCGCACCTTGGGAAGTGTGCGTAGGCTAGCCTCTCATTCCAAACCAGAGGATAGCAATATCGAGAGGAAGCCAGATCTCTATAGGTGGGCTTAGTCATTCATTTCTTTACTTGTGGTTCCAGTGCTCAGCGCTGTTTGTGTCTTGAACACAAGGGTGAATCAAAATAAGCTGTAGCAGTATCTCGATATGCTTCTATACAAAAAGAAGATCGAAACCACAAAGCCTTCTAACTGCAATCTTCACTGCGCCGCATGAAGGGGTAATTCACTTTTTTGCAGGCCAGGATCCGATTCTTATGCATATGATAACCCATGGCCGAAACTAAATGGCGGCCGATTGGATTGGTTATTTGGCGATGGCTGGAGACGACCTTTGGCAAAGGACCAAGGAGCTAAAATGGTTAGGAATTCTTGTTTTTAAGTATATCAACTCATATGCTTTAATTTTGATCAATCCACGTAACCTAATCTGTGCGGAATTTGCAGTTCCACATTTTCAGCGAAGGGAGTGGATATGGTTCAGTCAGATCTCTCATGATGAGCACAAAGATTGGCTGAAGTTTCACCAGGTTCGTTCTACTACCTTAGACTCCTGCTTCCTTATGTTTGCGCTTTGTTTTATATTTGATCAAGAAACATGCCATTTTACTCTGAAAACAAATCCGAAAGCATAGAATTTCTCCACCTTAAGTGCTTTGTACAGAGAAAAAATTTTTGGTAGAAGATGCGACATTTCATGCAGTCACCTGATGGTCAGAATGAAATTATGTACATGTTGCGATTGGCCACTGTTGAAATGACATTTGTTTTACTTTTATCATCACAGAAGGTAAACGATTTGCTAAAATTTGTTTTGGGATTGTTCTAGTAGTCACTGTAGTTGAATGACATGGCATCGGACAAAGTGTAGTGAAGGCTCAGAGAGACAGGAGATTGTGTCGTTTGAAATACGAAGTTTCTTGTGGCAAATTTTTGATCGGACCATTTGGAAACTAGGATTCTAATTTTTTCGACTTACACTTTTAAATTGAGACTGAGATTTAATTATAATACTTTTATCTTTTCACCAATTTCATCAGCCTCCACTGAGTGTGTGATTGAATGCTGTCTCCTTTTAATTCTTTTGTTGTCTAAGACCTGGCGTTTCAGACCACTTTTCTTCTCTTCACAGTCCTAACAACTTGGGTCACCTGCTGGATCATGTTTGCCCGTCCTGACTGGTATGTAAAACTAAAGCATTCTTCGCTCGAGTGATATAACTGTTCATGTGCTTAGAGTCTTCTGTGATTGTTTTTCGGTCTTTTTGACTAAATTATGTTCAGGCCAATGGGACGCGAGTGGGCTCTCCGCGAGGCACACTTGGAAATCGCTCGAAGAGAAAAGGCAGGTCTTCCTCTGATCAGTCCTGATCTTCTTCCCAGGTCGGTACCTTTTTTCAAATTTATATGTGGAAGTAATCCTGCAAGTTTGCGTTTCAGAGAGCGCGTTATGGCTTCGCTGCCCGCAGAGGAAGAGTTACGCGATTTCGATATCCTGATCTAAATAGTTCAATTTTGCGTTTATAGTCTAAGAATTCTAGATGAGGAAGGTACAGATGTTTTTTGTTCCCTGTACAGTTAGATTTTGAGATTTTGTCCACCAAATTTTGTCATTGAGCTAAACCACTTTCTTCCGTGACAAGATCCACTAGATCGTGGATGATAGTATTTGTATGTCGGTCTGTCAATGTGTCGACCTAGAGGGTAGACTAGCCATATGTTGCTCATATTGTCTGCAATCGAAGCATATATGGTGATAGATATAAGTGTGAGTGAAGAGTTACATTAACACCAAGACTGAGTTTGTCGCCTATTTGAGCTACAACGATTAGTTGCCGGTATCATAAAGTTATTGAAGGCGCGGTTTACCTAAATTGAGTGTTGAAATTTTGATACAGTACAACAGGCATCTCTTACCAAGTAAATGCTCCTCGCTGCAAAAGATTTTGGAAGCGAGAATATCACACCTGTAAAAGCGGAGATGGTTGCTCCGCCCAGCAATGTGGTTGCAGTCTGAAGCAGCAGGTCCAAACATGGGATCAAATGTCTGCGAAACTATCAGAAGTCTGATAGTGATATCCATGCGCAGATTTTCGACAATTTTGGATACATTAAGCTCGAGTTTGGGCTTGTTTTCACAACGCCCACGTTGATCGGCGGTATGAACACCATTGCTTTTACCTTCTGGAGTAGTTTTCTTCAATCTGACTACGCATTTTGCAGCGGGATTGGGCGATTACATGATCAGGGGCTCCGCTAGTACCTCACCGTCCAAATTTTGAGTTGTCTTCGAGTGTCCATCGTTGGGCAGGGGCAACAGATCTTATAGGGAAATTGGTGGAAGTGGCTAGAAAAGTAGCAACATTTTCGAATTGCACACTTGTACCTACAAGAAGTCGATCAAATAAAGAGAACTCTAAAATACCGAAGTTACGTCGTGCTAAATCCATCAGTGGATCGCAAGGATTGAAAAATAAAAAAATACAAAATGACGTTCTACGCGCTACGCGCATACGCGTTCTACCTCTTTGTCGCCAGCTGTTGTCACCTCGCGTATCAGGGGCAGAAGAGTTACAATAAAGATCCCATATGTCAGTTTTTTTGTTGATCTAGAATGCTTGGCATATCGCACTTTACGATTTCATTTTGTTCTTCAATTCATCACGAAGGCATTCAGAACTTCATTTTAAGTTTTCTTGTCGAGTTCACTGAACTCATAGCACTACAAGAAGTCCAAGCCTCCTTTCTAGCGCGAACACAAATCACGCTACGAATTCTTCATGAAACCTGATAATCAAGAATATGCAACATAAAATGGCTTGGATCAGGAAGACGCAAAACCAAGCTTCTTTTGACAAATTAGCTTTTATTGTACATTTTTGACGAGCCGACTTTGAGAGTGGCGCAGAGAATTCTCAATTTTCTGCAATAAACACCTAGAACACTTTAGTAGCTCGACTGCTGTCGGTATAATTTATACAATATCGCTCACAGTTGGTCAAAAAAAAAACAATTTGCCGCAATCCGTCGACATTCGCCGAAATCGGCGTCGCATCGCCATATCGTTCAGAGTGGATGAATTCTAAATCAAAGGCAGCGTTCGACTCAGTTCGGAGAGTTGCATCTTCTGGTACGTAGGTGCCGTTTGGATACGGTAGGCTAGGTTACTCATTGTGCAACGAATAAGCACGCTGGTTAACCACCGTAGGAAAAAATGTGAAAAGATTCGTAAAATTCAACCGCCTACCTGCATCTGTGGTACCCAAACGGGCACTTCTCTGCATCAGAAGATGCGCCTCGCCGAGCTCGGTCGCACGATGTCTTGGATTTGAAACTCGTCTACACTGAAGCAAGATATGGCGATGCGACTCGGATTTCGGTGAAGTCCGGTGAAGTCCGGCGACTTTTTCTGATTAATTATGAGCGCTACTGTACATTAACCACAAACCAACGGTGCAAGTATGCTAGAGGAGCGATCATTTGTAAATATTCGAAGCTGAAGAGTGAGTTTTCCACCTACAACTGGTAATTGAGTTCTACTGGAGTCTATGTAAGACTTATAAATTGAACTTGCATATTATTTGCATTTTATCCGGTTTTTGGGGCGAGTGGCGTAGTGGTATGAGGCGCCGCTATGACCAGATCGAACGCAGGTTCGATCCCCGCCCCTGGGCCAACCAAGCCCTCTACCCTCCGGGGCCGGTAAATTGGTACCAGAGTAATCTGGGAGGATAAAGGCACTGACTTGGAAACGGCTGGCCCCCGCAAGTCACTGTAATAGGCTCGCACGCATACAATTGCCTCTTCGACTATGAAGGTAGTGTGTGCGTTCGGCGCATGCCCTCAAAGGGTATTGAAGACGCCGAATCCTTTATCCTTCCACGGATCTCCCTCATAGAGGGATCACAGCCGGTTAGTCGCGAGGCTACGTGGGGCGTCCCCAGGTGGCGGATAGGGGGATAATCGCCGACCAAAAGCGACCCCGCGCCTGCTCTGATAAGCAAGCGGAGCCGGGGGACGGACTCCCTGCCTCCACTAAAAGCTTGCGCCCTAATTTCCCGGGTAGGTGTGTGGGGAGGCGAGTTCGGAGTCGCCTCCAACAAATAAGCTCCGATCGTCCCTCGCGGGGTTTGGAGCCCAACAAGCTATCCCTGCGAGTAAATTCTTGTTCGACACAGTGATAATATGGAAAGCTCCTTTAATCTTGGAAGAGCCACTGGTAAGGCAGCGCCAGTGGGGACAAGGTTTGAAAGGCGATCTAGGCTGCCGAAAACGAGACGGACTATGATGACGATCTGTACTTACAACGCGAGGACGACGGCATCGGACGCATCTATCGAAGATCTCATGATGCAAGCAAGGAAGATTAAGTACGACGTCATCGGACTGACCGAGACAAGGAGGCACCACCCGCTGAACGCCACACTTGAGACTGGAGAAGAACTGTTTCTAGGAACATGCGACAGTCGAGGAGTAGGTGGAGTGGTAGTCTTTGTCAACACGAGTTTGGCCATGAACATCGATTCGTTCGAACAACTTACAACTCGAATCGGACGTTTGCGAATATCAAGATGTGGATCAATCCCTGCCTTGACCGTCTTCATTGCGTACGCCCCAACATCCAGCTACGACGAGGACGAACTCGAGGAATTTTATATGGACTTGGAGAAGTTCTACAGAGAAGATCATACCTTCTACAAGATCATCGTCGGTGATTTCAACGCGAAGATCGGAACTAGAAGGTCGACTGAGGAACTTCACATCGGAACCCATGGTTTGCAGTGGAACGAACAAGGGGAGCGACTGTCCGAGTTTATCATGGCGACGAGGACTATCCATGGAAACTCACAGTTCCAAAAGCCCTCTTCCCTACGCTGGACCTGGGAATCGCCCGGTGGAGAGTACCATAACGAGATTGACCACATCATCGTCAACAGAAGGTACTGCCTGACGGACGTCGCTGTTGTTCCGAAGTTCTACACGGGATCAGACCATCGTCTCCTGCGCGCCAAATTCTACTTTCCGCGGAATGGAGAGAGAGCCGTCAAGTTCAGGAAACATCGTCCCATGAATACCACCAACTGGGATCTGTTTTCTTCGATATCCGGCTCATGGCGAGATACCGTGATGGACAACATCGACGAAGAATACGAACGGTTCGTACAACATCTCCACGGTTGTGCCAAGAAAGCTCAGAGTCTAAGAAGTACGAGAAGGCGTCTCACCACGGGGACTTTGGAGCTGATACGCCAACGTGGACGCGCACGAGCCACAGGCAACTACCGACTGACGTCCGAGCTTGCGAAGCGATGCAGAGAAGCGATAAAAGAAGACCTTAAGGAGAGAAGAGTAGCAGTGATGGTTGACGCCGCGGAGGCTGGAAGAAGTATACGCAACGCCCGCCGAAGCTTCGTCAACTTGAAGACAAAGATGACCGCACTTCGTCGTCCTGACGGAACCATAACTGCTTCCCGAAGATCAATGGAGAAGGTCATCCACGACTTCTACTCTGATCTTTTTGCGAGCCACGTCCACCTTCCACCATGCCATCTCAAGGAGGACGAGTATGTCGCACCGTCTGTTCTTCCTTCCGAGATTCGTCATGCTATCATGTCGATGAAAAACCGTACAGCACCCGGTCCCGACAGGATTAAGCCAGAACATCTGAAGAATCTTTCGCCAGTTCTCATCAAGACTTTGGCAAGGCTCTTCACGCGGTACCTGACGGAAGGCAAGGTTCCAAGGCAATGGAAGACCAGCAAAACCGTGTTGCTGTACAAGAAGGGAGATCCCTGCGACATCGGCAATTATCGCCCTATCTGCTTGTTGTCTGTAGTCTACAAACTCTTTACGCGAGTCATTCTCAACAGGATCGGAAGAGAGTTGGACGAAAGACAACCATGCGAGCAAGCTGGGTTTCGAAGAGGATTCAGCACGATCGACCACATACACACGGTGTCAAGGCTCATTGAAGTGTCACGAGAGTATAAGATGCCGCTCTGTCTCACCTTCATCGACTTGAAGAAGGCCTTTGACTCGGTTGAGACTGAAGCCGTCATCGATGCCTTGAGCAATCAAGGTATTCCGACTCATTACATCAAGATAATTCGTGAGCTGTATAACGACTTCACAACCACCATAACACCATTCTACAAGGACATCATCATTGACGTGAAGAGAGACGTGCGACAAGGCGATACTATATCGCCGAAACTATTCAGTGCCGCTCTGGAGAACGTCATGCGTAAGTTGGAATGGGACAACATGGGAGTGAAAGTCGACGGCCGGCAGCTACACCACCTTCGCTTTGCTGATGACATCGTATTGATAACACCAAGCATCACGCAGGCGGAACAAATGCTGGCCCAGTTTGACGAAGTGTGTGGAAAGATCGGTCTACGGCTGAATCTAACGAAGACGATGTTCATGAGGAACGGAAGAGTGCTTGGTGCTCCTTTCATGCTCAACGGGACGAACATCACCGAATGCTCAAGCTACACCTACCTAGGTCGTGAACTCAATATGATGAACGATCTAGCTCCGGAACTGAGCAGGAGGAAACGTGCAGCATGGGGAGCATATAAGACAATTGAGGACGTAGTGAAGAAGACCAAGAACATCCGGCTCCGCGCCCACCTTTTCAACTCGACGGTTCTTCCTGCTTTGACGTACGCTTCAGAAACATGGACAATGAGAAAGCAGGATGAACACGCGGTCAGCGTCATCGAACGAGCTGTTGAGAGAGTGATGCTAGGAGTGAATCGACTCACGCAAGTGAGGCAAGGATTACGAAGTTCTACCCTACGTCAACGATCGAAGATCAGGGACGCTGCCGCGTACGCCAAGCAGAACAAGATAGGATGGGCCGGGCACGTAATGCGTTTCGACGACAACCGGTGGACGAGAGCTGTAACAGATTGGATACCACTGGACGTCGAACGCGAACGAGGAAGACCGCCGACGCGATGGTCAGATATGTTCACGAAGTCCTTTAATGAAGTCCTTCAGAGCGTTCCACGTGTTCCTGGTGCGATACGTAAACATTGGTCAACAATCGCCCGAGACAGGGACGAATGGAGGCATCACTGGTACCCGCTCGTGCAACACGATGATCAACGGGGATACAGGTGATACAGGTGATTATCCGGTTTTTGACTGCGTTATATCGGTTGGCTAACATCCTCTCATTTTGAACTACCCTAAAATCCCGCCAATAAGTCCGGCCTTATCTGCATTTTTTGACACGAAAAATTGATAAGAAATCGCCCTCTGCGCTGCCAGAAGTCTAGCAGATGAATCCTCCCATCAGACCGCAGCAGATCTGCTACACTTCTGGCAGCGCAGAGGGCGATCTTTTATCAAATTTTCGTGTCAAAAAATGCAGATAAGGCCGGACTTATTGGCGGGATTTTAGGGTATGTCAAAATCCAAGCAAGTTGCTGATTTTAAACAAAAAAGTAAGCCTTGACTATTATCCTTTACACTTTATGAATGTTACTACGAATTGAAACGTTCCTGGCGTATTCAAATGAACGTAGATGGATATAATGAGTTCTTGACATAGGATTCGTTATCGTTAGTGTCTGTACATGGTCTATACATGGAAGAGATTCCCACTGCATGTCACAATGGAAACAGCATGATTGAATAATTTGAATTTTATGAACATCATTTACTTTAATATCTTGTTCGCGATATGCATTATTCAAAATTTCCAAGGAGCTTTGCTCTTCGTCGTAGAGGAAGATTTTTTACTGCTCACGCTTCGAATCCGTGATGCAGAAGTGCTTCGCCATAATCTGCCACCTCGGTCAGAAGCTCTGAAATTTGGTCCGTTTACCAAGTTTGGCATCATCGTAAATTATCATCAAAGAAAGATTACTAACATTTTTGCTTCCAACGCCTTTTCAAGTGTTGGTATATCGAAGGCACTAGCAGATTTTTTTGTTGTGAGACCCTTCGGGTAGAAACTCTTGAAGTATGGTATGGCTAAAAATCAAAAGTGTGTTTTTCTTCTAAAAATGATCTGCTTTAGAACTTACTTCCGCATAAGAACACCGCTGAGTAACCTCTTTGATGCAGTGCTGCGGTTACGGTATTTGCAGATTCACCGTAGATGACCAGAGTGCGGTTCTCAAGACGAGCATCCGCCAGCAGAGGCGTTTCAAAATGGCTACGAGAGAGAAGAAAACGGTTGAAGTGTTGTGCTGGAAGTGAACCATTGGAATTTAGGAGCCTTTATGTTTTTTTATTTTTGAGTAGTCCGCTAAATAAGCATAAAAGCAGCAGGTTTGATAAGAACTCAAAATAGCTAGTGATAGCACTAGCCATTTTGAGTCTTCGACTTTTGAAATCAAATGAGCTTTTGCAAATCTTTTTTGGAAATGTGGTTTCCACCCCCTTTATTTCGGATTGGATCATGACTTCTGAGCTTATGTAAATTCAACGAAATCCTGCTACCTCCGACCAAGTAGGGCTTTGCTAATCGATAGGCATAAGTAGCCCCACAAGATAGCCTACAGAGTACGAAATTTCAAAAATGTTCGTAGCCAATACTTGAATCTTATCAATTACTGGAAAATCTAGTCTCTGCCCTAAAGAATCGTATGGACTTTTAACTTGCTTGCGCATCTAATCTCCTCACAAATTAATGGCCAGATATCGAGAAAAGAAAATACAGCAAGCTAAGTCCGAAGTATTTAGCTTTTTCGCTCAGGTCTTCCTATAAGCTAGGCTGTCCCGAAAGTTTTGTCCGTTTTTTCAAACTACTATAAAACCACGCACAATAAAGACCTGATTGAGTTTCAAAATGCATTCAATGCGGCTTCAAATTTTCTTTCTTAAGGATACATTTTCGATCCAAAATCTTGTATGATTTTTTGATAATTGCCAAAATTCTCCACCCATCAACTTTATCTGTTCAAAGTTAGGCTGATTTTTAAAAATTTCATTCCAAAGTTCCGGGATAGCTTAAGTATGGATCAAACAGAGCAAATCCCAGGGTACAGGGTAGTATTTTCATATTTTCCTAGTCTGCTGTTTTGAAAAGTTATTATTTTCGGAGGTCTCGATTTTTGGCCAAGTCGTGAAACACGCAACCGCAGCAAATACACCAAAGCTTTTGAAATTTCTGTGAATTATAACATGATTTTTATCATTTATCAACATCATTTATGCAACATAACTAAGTTTGATTTGCTTTGAAAAAGCAGCTTTTTGGGATTTTCGGTACTTTCACGCAGTAAACATTATCAAAAAGCCGCGGTTTTATTACATAAATAATTATAACGGACTTGGTAAACGTGATCAATGTAATCTAAAATACAATGTAGCCAGAAGTTTACTCTACATAACAGTTACCAGCGCTCTGTGAAAACTTCAGGATAAAAATTTTTGAGATTTAGGAAAGATTTGGCGTAACTGCTAAGCTGCTCAAAAATCCATGGCGATAAAATTGCAAAGACAGGGTAGATCAGACAAATACAGCTGTAAGAAAGAGGATAAAAATCTGAATTAAATGGTACCTAAGTAACATCCCGCAATAAGGATCCCGGAAAAGTCTTGGCATCGTTTGATGTATCTTTTCATACTCTTCTGAATCGTTATATCCCTATTGCAGTTCAACCAACACTGTCTCAGAAATTTACCAAAAACTACGAACTGGTTTTTGTCATGGTCAAGTATCGCTATTTTTCTAAGTTTTTTAGAAGTTCCCCTAGAAAATCCAAGTAACATTTGGATAGAGCAGACCCTACAGAATGCAAATCTGTTTCTTTTTCGCGTCTATAGTTTGCTTCATAAAATTTGTAGATGCTATCAATATCAATACCAAGTTCAATATTTGTTTTTGGTCGACTCAACCCTCATAGAACTTCAACCGGCTAGCTCGGGTGTCATTCGATGCAGTATTTTTCTTTCTGACTAGCAGGTGCGTTTTGTTTCTAAATCGTAAAATCTTCGGGGATAAAGTCATCATAGTTCATGTTTTTGAGCGCATCGCAGGCTATACTCGGAAATTACGAGATTCGATACTTCCATAAAGCTCACTTGCTTTGTATAAAATTATGTCGAATCACAATATATTGCTTGAAGTTTCAAATTCAGAGGATATGTTGGTGTGATAAGTTGAAGTCTGACGCAGACCTGCTAAAACTCGGGGTCTCAATGAAAAATCTACAAAAGAAAGAAAAAGTGTTTCGTTTTTTAGGGTCAGTATAAGAGTTTTGAAAATAGCGAAATTTTGGTGGCAAAAACTATAGATCTTGGTTTTTGGTCATTTTCCGAGAGCTCCTTTGTCGAACTTGCACAGGAAAACAATCATTCGAAAGAAGGTAAAAAACTGCATCGAAAGCGCCCAAACTTTTCCCAAGACCCTTGTTCTGCGAGATATTACACACGCTTGAAAAAAGCGAAATTATTTCCGGAACGATCTGATAGTTATTGGAATGAGTTTAGGAAAACTGAAAGAAACAACCAGAGAAAACTACTTTAACTTTTTGCCCGATTTTTCTCATTCCCTAGCCAGGTGGAAAACATTACGGCTGCCAATATGAATTTGTGACACAGGTATGTGTAAGCAAGTTGGAGGTTCGTAAAAAAAACTTTTTTTGACTGAGATGCGATTGGTATTAATCATTACATATTAGATTTTGGGTTCAAGCTTTATATGGATCGAGCTTCGTGCAAATGTTTGGAGGTATCTTTAGGATTTGCTTTATTCTATCGAGTAGTGTGACCTGTATTGAAAAAAGTGGAAATGTTATTCGTGTAACCAAAAAAATTATGAAGCAATTAAGCGAAAATGTATCTTGATACCGGAGTTTTTTTTACTGATCAGGCCGTACCTGTTATGATATGTTCCTTTGCATACTGAGGTGGATCATTTACATCAACAATTACGAAGTCCTTTAGTGGAGTGGGCTTCCCTTCATCTCGTAATATCAAAAAACGAACCTGAACGTCGAGAAAATAGCTGGCATGGAAAGACACAAGGGAAGCTTACAAATTTGTGAATGTCGATAGAAAGATAGTTCTCTCCAGCTAGAAGCATTCAACGAGGGCGTAGGTTTGGTAAATCTTCCTCTCTTGTCATCTGTGACCCGTCTGCAAGAAAAATAGAACAAAGTTATGAAACGTTCGACGAGCCATGATGGTCAGGAATATCCAGCGCCCGAAGGTGGTCTTCAAATAATGAGATTCTGCAGTTTATCCGTCAAATTTTTCTTCAAACTTCAAGAAACCGTTTTTTATTTTTCCTGAAGAGTTTGTGGATGTAAAAGGGATTTTGATCTCAAGGAAAATGCTCGGTTGGTGTGGGCTTCTACTTCTTCATTCAGGAAAAATTTTTATTGCGAAAGTCTTGTTGAAAAAAAAATGGAAGCTATATGGTAGGGAAGATGGGCGAGCGCACGAGGCAATAACTTACTTGGATTAATGCTCATTCAGCTGTTTTCAATGTCTGCAATTTCTTACGCCTGCGTCTCGTTCACCAGGTAACCAAATGTAAAAAAACCACACAGAAAGGACACAAGTCCTAGCCAAATGAAACGTTATAAAAATATATAAAGCAGTCGCCGTACGTTATGCTGAAGAATGGGAGAGAAAAAATAGCGTAGACTGGTGGTAGGGGAGAGCAGTCTAACAACAAGCTATCGAATAGGATTGGAATGGGTTCGTGAACTAGAAAAGGATGTACTTTCGCTTTTTTTATCGTTATCTATTCTATTGGTGAGTCTGCTTATTTATTGTATCACCTTCAATGAAACAAAACTCAGACTTTCATCTGACCTTCCGATAAAGTCCATACAAGTGTTTCTCTAGCTGCGATCACAAAATGAAAACGACCAGATGAAAATAATGTCAGCTGAAAAATGAGAACCCACATCTTTATGTCTGTACTTTGCTGGACTTAATAAAGACACAGATCACGAGATGTGTAGAACACGCTCAAAACTTAAGATCGTAGTTAGTCTTATTCTTTTTCTAAATATGGCCTGAAACAGAGGAAAATAGTGAATTTTATAATCATGTCAGGTCTACTGCTCGCAGAAAATCTTCATGGGAGAGACATCAGGTCTAAATCTCACTGCATCACTAGGGAAAATCTGAAAGCTGCTGCGAAAGCTGCATCACCATGTAGGCAGTGATGAATCGAGTCCAGCACTTCATCCAGAACATTGCAAGCGGAATTTTGTGGTTTAGAGGCATGACAAGCCTATGATGATGTTGAAGTCTGTCCGTCCATACCAGCAATTATGCAGTGTTTACGAAAGAGCTCCTTACCGCACTTATCGAAAAGGCTCAGTGGATTTCATGGCTATCATCTGAGATGAAAACTTGAAAACTCCTCAAACTAGCTGTATGTTAAAGCACATCAACTTTTGGTGCTTTTTAAAGCGAAAAAATTCGGTCATCATTTCTCGTTGAAAAGGATGACAGGTCGCAAATGTTGCAAAAGTCTCATGTTTTGGTATGTAATTGTACAAAGAATTTTGGAACCGGGGAATGCGTTAGTGTTAAAAAAAACTCGTGTGTCTTTATCATTTTGTCCAGCTTCGGTAGGAGCTTTCTCGAATTTTTCTATTTTTCTCCGTTCGAACTCAACAAAACTGGATGTTTAAGGAGTCATGGTAGGCTAATATGCGCAATGCATAGCAAAGTTTCGGACAGTTTCATCAACAAGAACGCAAATTACGATATTTTAGAGTGTCTTTATAATTATGTCCAGCACTGTATGTATGACATATATCACAAAAACTTCAATAACCTTTTCTAGTGTAAATTGTTCAGAAATCATAGCTTATGACGGGTAATTTCATGTTCGCAAAGGGAAAGGAAAATATGCATAAAAATCTTGTAAACAGTAAACTGAATTGAGTTTCCATTTCACTCAGCATTTCTACATCTATATGTAAATTGGTAGGAGGAGAATAATGTCATTTGTTTTTGGGAGATCCTTTTTTTGTGGTGGCGAAAGTGAGGACAAAATAGATTTTGAGAGAAAAGAACTCTCTTCATATAACATTAACCGGATTTGAAGATTAGAGATGAATTCAAAGCCTTGCGAACTTCCTAATCCCAAAAAACCATACGAGCTTAGTTTCGATTTTTTGTGACAAACTTGTCATGCGCTTAAGGCGATGAAAGTCCTCAAAAACCAATAAAAAGATGAAATGATGCGATGACATGATATCATTGAGAGACTTGCTCTACACATATGTTGAATGCTGATGATGATGCCAAAATCGACGTGTCTGCCATTTCTCTTCTGGCACATTATTGCAACGGATTATCGCGCTGGTTGCTTGGTAACCCACCTGCATCTCGAAGCGAACGCTGGTGGTTCCGAATTAATGAGCTCGAAATTTGTGCTAATTCACTTTCGCTGTTATGTGTAACTGGTACTATGGACATATAACGAACAGTAAATGAGGTGCGAATGGGTTCAAGATCATGTCACAGTGAGTCAGGAGTGATTAATGTTTTAAGTCACTCTAGTGAATGTCAAAAGAGCGTACGGCCAGGAGGGAATGTAAAAACCAGTCGAAATCGGTCAGAAGCTCAGATGAGCTCTTCAGAGCTACATTCAATGTAAATATGCTATGGGTAAGGTCGTCAATTTTGTTTGCCATTTCTTTTCCCCAAATTTTGCTTTTCAACTCTGCACTTACTCTACAACTCGCCCGATTCATTGAGTCAGATTCTTTAGAACAGTGATCTGGATTAAGTTACACTTCGGCTATATGCAATAAAATAGTATAAGGGAAAGGAATGGCTGGTTGAAAATATGATGGTGCGGCTAGAAGAATGCTGCAAAGAGTTTTACCCTACCATAACCTGAGCAAAGTAAAATTTGAGTACACCCACTCAGGGCTCGGCACGAGGTGGCTAGATGAAAATGGAAAAAACGAAGTCCCCCTTGACTTTTGGGAATTTTTACGAAGTCCCCTTTGACCCTCAACCAAATTTCCTCTAAAAACCTGAAAAATTCCCCAAAATCCCCCAAAAAACGAAACGTCGACTAAAAAAAAGGTCGCCGTCGCCAATTTTCCGTGTCTCTTCGGCCACAAAAACGAAACCCCTTTGCTTTTCGTCCCAAAAACGATATCCAGCTTGCTTGTAAGCCACCTCGTGCCGAGCCCTGCACCCACTGAGTTTATTAAGTCAGAAATGATTGCAGCTAAGGTGAAACAAATGTTTTTGGAAGATTGCACTGATCACATTGAAGATGACTACTTTCGTCAGTTTACGAGTAGTCCCATATGCTTTTCTACGCGTTCAGCCTTCTTAATAAGCTGAGTTATCCTTGTCTAGATAAGAAGGTGGATCTCGTACAGGCCCTTGAATAGTGGAAGTACAGGATGTCCCAAAAAATGTGAACACTGTTTGATCGTTACTAACTCCGTTGCTTTCATGTCTTTCGCCGAGCTTGAGGTACCATTCTGTAGGGCGAGGTTCAACTTAGATTTACAGTATATATGTATGTGCGATGTATATAAGCACGTGCGATGGAGGAGACGTCCAGCGGCGGAGTTTGGCATTTTACTCAATTCATTTTTTTCTTTCTAGGCATGGAAAAAAATACGGAAAGAGTACAGGTGATTGCTCGATGTGCTAGTATATGCTATATGCTATGCTATGCTAAATTGGGAAATTTTAAGATTTTTTGGGGAGCAGATACGATTTTTGACAGTAAAGTTCGTTTTTGACTGCCATCAGATTTCAGTCCAAAACCTCACGTGGAATACGATTTGGGCAGACTGTTGATTGCCATCTTGTAGAGCTTGCTTTGCGTCGAACGATTACTCAAGCCACATCAATTGAAGGAAGGATACAAAAAGACGACGGCTTAATAAAAACGGTAAAAAAGGGCAAAAGGGGCCAAAGTGACAATTTTTAGGGTTTGCGCGAGAGATTTAGTCTCAAGTCTTCTAGAGCAGATAACTTTCAAATTTCAAAGCATCGTACACTCGCCATCAGAACTTCGACTAAACAACCCAATTGGCATGTTCATGCACATAATGAGGTTGTGGCTATTCAATGAAAATGAAGTAATCAATACAGAATACTTCCACACATGATGATCACAACCCCGCATACCCATAAAACTCGTCTCGGTGGATTACGGTCATCCAGTAATAGGAGTTCCAAATTTCACTTTACTTCATCTGCTTTGACAGAGCTTATAGTAACTCCGCAAATCTGGCAAGCTGAAAATTTTAAAAGATTTATACTCGCGAACTCTAAGCTATGCTGTCATTTTAGATCTTAGAGGTATTTTCTTCTAACTGGTGCATCAATGTTCATCAATGTCTGCAAGTTTTTTTTATATAGTATGAGCTAAGCCTTCAAGAGGTAAAGAAGCGCTGTCTTAGCAACAGCTTACTTTACTGTGTTAGCGTGGCGATGAAATGGTGATGAGATTTTTGTGTAGTTTGGTGACCCTCCTTGCCTTATAATGATGAGAAATCTTGGTTTTAAACCATAGTATCAATGAAGTAGCAAAGTATATGATAAGCCGAGGGCGTGGCAAGGGATTGAAAGCGAAAGCATGAAGGAGATGCAGCTAAGATGTGTTTGCGCAGATGAACGTCTATCGATGGATGATAAATCAGAAACCGGTATTGATTACGACAGAAAAAGTGACAACATCTGTTGCAATCAACATGCCATGTCCTTTTTTATTGACTTTAGTGGACTCCGCTTGATCAGGGCTAACCTAAGGGGTTACTGTTGTATGATTGGCGAGAGCTAAAATCACTCAATATTATGTATTTGCGAAATATTCTAAGAATCTGCTACTTTAGGCTGGTAGAAAAAGCACGTATCAAATTATTACTCTTCAAATTACGCATATACAGTCATTCCTTCAACAACTGGACCTATTATATTTTCATTTACGTGGTCAAAATGAAAACAATACTGTCAGCCTTTTGGCGGAGAGTGACTAACATCTTTCTTAATACTGTGAGCAAAAAAGAAAGTTTTCTTAAATACGGGTTCACCCTCTATTAACAGCATATTTGATCATTAGGATTGAGCCCAGCAATTTTCGTTAAGACTATGATATTAAATACTCTACTCCTTTATTAGGTTGTCCCATTCTCTTCTAAGAATTTTTGCTCGTTTATTTCTTTTATTCTTTCAAGTGTTCTTTCATCGACAGAAACGATGAACTCGATTATTTTCATAATCAAGTGCAAACTTTACGACAGTCTTTGACCGATACAGTGTGAAGTGCTAATTAGAACTGATCCTGGGCCATTAGTTCCATTGATTAGATCTTGCCGTACCAAGTTGTTTTTATCAGGTTGTTCCAAAGCATCTTCCGAAAATTTTCTTTTCAATTCCTTTTTTCTTTCATAGATTGCGGGGCCGAGAATGGCCGTTTTTCACATTATCAACCTTCTCTTTTAGCTGACACTGCTAACTTTTGTTTTTTTTTACACTTTTCTCGTACTTCACATTGTTTTTTTGAAAAAAAGTAGTAATCTCCTTGAAGAGCCTATTCTCGCTCTTTTCAAGAAGAATCCTTTTGCTCGGCATGTGTGAGAGTGTAAATTTGACTTTTTTGATCACAAACACTAGATTGTCGCTGAAGTTTCCATGTCAAAATTTTCATAACTTTTCAAACCTTGTATCCAAACTTAACAACTCGCTTATAGCGAGGACAGCGCTCTAGATAAATGTTCATTCTCAGTTATGTTGCTAGCCTCCGAAAGCAAAGTTTTTAGATATGAAGTTTCATATTTTGCGATTTTGACTTTAGTGCTAGGAAACTGAGGAGAACCATTAGCTACCCCAAAATCTGTAATTCGTTACGTAGCGCTAGTCATATGCATTGGTGTGGCAGTGATCTCTTATGAAAATGCAAGCTAAGAACATGAATGTTATTTGACAGTAAAAATCTCCTTATTTGCGCTTTCTTTAGGTAACAAAAAAATCACCGTACGAATTTCAGAGCGTGAAAATGCGATTTTTATGAAAGACACATTCTGATACTAACTACTCCTGACTGAGAATCTTAAAGTTTTCAAACAATTTGTTTTGATGACATCCTTATGTACATGATGCTTGCTAAAGCTTTGTATATCCTACTCCATCATAGATCTTTGCAAAAAAATTATATCTCGATGTTGATCATAGTTCAACGTGTCTGGATTGCTGGAGTGTGTAGTCTAGTTTAAGCATCTGATAAGAACTGCCGACTGAACAAGGGTCATTTTTTCTGCTTCACTATGCTACATTTTTTCACCTACATCGCTTACTCTTCGGACGTTTGTGCACATTTACACATCTCTTTCTCCTCTAGGAAATATTCGAAAACAATGCTTGTGTTCTTTCATCATCAAAAAGCAATGCATGTGTGCTGCATTCAGTTGATCAAATGCACTTTGCGAGGAGTATTTTTCTTCTCCATTCGCACCAGTAGCCTCTCATATAATAATATTTCTTATTAGTCTTTTGCTTTTTACCTTGCCCTCTTAGGATTATTCGAATTATCTGAATTCTAGGAACTGTAGAGTAAATTCCCTCCTTGTCTTTATAATACTTGTGTATGTGCTGTGAATCTTTCGTGGTATTAGTAAAACTGTCTCTGTTCTTCATTCTCAGGAGCTGAAAAAATAAACTTCGATCAACAATCTCACACCAACTTGCGCATTTGCTTACCCTTCCATTACTGTTATCAGCTGGTGGTTATCAGCGTAGTGACGACCTAAGTTTTTAGTGCTACGGGAACAGTGTACTTTGATGGTCCATTATCAAACGTTTTGGATCAGAACTTTTTACATCCGAATTCCTTGGCCTTTCAAAAGCTTCATCCTTGCAACTTTTGACATCAGACAAATTTTCACTATCCTCTCCTTTCGTGTGTTTGCAGTTGGATGTGAATAGTGAACCAGCAAAGCTCTAGTTGTTGCAGCTCATTCTGAAAGCTCTTTGTTTTCGGTTCTATTAACATTTCTTGGTTCAGAGTGAACAAAGTTTGAACCCATGCGCACTCAACAACTAACTTCAGCAATATTACGGTTTTCACCATTTTTTTTACAAATTTTGAGCGGTATTCTGAATCCTACGCAATTATCGGTGACAGTTACCTGCAAAAAATGTTCAGAAAATTGCAAGTTATTTGTTCTTATTCGATTGTGGCTCGACGCACTCGACATAATCAAGCCAACATCAACAGCATCCTTCTTCACCCGAGAAATGAATCGTGGCTATAAGCACTGAAGATTGTCTTGAGTTGACTACTTGTTTGATAATCACTGAATGGCTTTGGTTTCCCTACGCTCATTTGGATGTTCATTGTCACTTTGCTTATTTGTACTCCAAAAACTTATAAATATGTAACTTCAAGATTTGAAAAGGCTTTCGAACTTAGCCTTAACCCAAAGCAGTCCGAGTTAGGACTTATGACTATTATTCCGACTAGTAGCGCGAATTTTCTCGCCTTACCATCCAATCGTTTCCTCAATCACCTGCATTGAAACTTCTCACTATGATCGCAATAGAGCTGATTTGCATCTAGAAGAACACCTCGTTCTTAAGCACTCTTACCTTTTCATGACGTTCCGAATAATAGGCAATTCATCTGGAGTATTATAGCCTTCAGAGCTGTAATCTTTGATGCAAAAGTTTTGAATGCAAGCTTTTTTACACGTCATGAACTTACTTCAAGCTTTCTCGCTTTGATGCAAATATTGGACGATTGAGATTTTTGTGATGCCTTGAAATTTAAGTGTTTTTAGATATCAAATTTACCTATTTTCAGTTGTGAGTTTCCGACTCATTTTGACTCACTTATCAACTTCGTGCTTATTAAAATATCATTTGTATGAATCCTCAACAACATTTTGTGAATAATTTTATAGAATGACTAATGTGGCGGTTTCCAAGTATTGTTATGGAAATTTATAATCGTACTTTTGCATGTGAGGAACTGATTTTTTTGGAAATGTTGTAGCCTTCAACTACTGCAGAGAAAACGACCTGGACATTTACCGATTTTGTAACGGACCAAAAAACGTTAGCGATATTTAACAGAATTGAGACTTCAGCTCGGAGATATATTTTCGTTTTTTGCGTTAGAAAGTGAAATGACAGTAAAAGCTTATGAAGGTAAACCCTACTATTGTAAAAAAACCCCGATTCTTCCCCTATCCACTTGTCTACCGCGATTTCTTCCCCATTGCTGAAGCGTGCCTTTTTGACTAGAAAAGGAGGATATTTTTGTATGGCTTGCAGGTTGTACCAGAAGAGCACGGATGACTGTGCATTCAAAGCTCTTAGCGTTGTCAGCGGATCCGCAATGGCGACGAAGGGTACGGGTTTATTAGAGCAATCTTTGTGCACCATTTAATATTATCCACCGTCAGGCCCTTACCTCGATGGGTGTTGGAGTGGTGGGTATTTTGGCTATGTTTGCATTATCAAGGAAAAGCAAATCAAAAAGTAAGAGTGTTCTTTCGGAAAATTGTAAAGTATCTTTTCCGGGAATTTTAGGCAAACTGCGAGAAGAATTACTGCTACCGCACTCGGTGAAGAAGAAGCGGGCATTCGATGCCACGTTTCTAAAACAACTGCTGGAACTTTTGAAAATAATGGTACCAGGCTTATTTAGCAAAGAATCGGGAATCATTGGTAAGTAGGGTCACCAGAACCTGATTTATCATCTTTTGGGCATTTTATGCATGGTTCAAACTCACTGTGGCTTTTGAGTGCATTCTTGCCCTTCTTTCAAATGCTCACAGCTAGAAATTGCCAATGCCAACCACTTTCAGCTGTTCATTCTGTGATTCTCGTATGCAGGACATTCCTTTCTATCTACGTTGCTGGTCTGGAAGGCAGAATTGTGAAGGCCATTGTTCAGAAGGTTTGTATCACCTATTTTCACAATCATTTTTGAGCTTACTGAAAACAATGCTGTTTGACAATTGCGGTGTAGTTGACTGTCTTGATCACTGTACAGTCGATTCCCAGTCGGGAAAATAATTGTTGTTCATTAGCTGGCTATACCATGCGACTTCGACCATCGGAGTAGATGATGAAGTTGGTTAAAAATTTGACCAGAAAGGTTTTCCTGTTTTGCACATAAAATGTGCTCTCTTGACATGGTGCAGGGCTCGGCACGAGCTGGCACCAGGGAAATTTTGAAACGAAGTCTCGTTTGGTATTGAAAATTTCGTACGAAGTACCCTCTGACCTGCTTTAAAAACCCGTCATTATTTTTATACTATGTAAAAGTATGTAGTGTTTTCGTGCATGCTGATTTCATGGAACAACTTTTCACAGCTTTCTGAGCTTTCTGAGTGGTCGAATCACATCTTGAGAAGCAGAAAAAGGCGATTTTTCGACTGCGGAGCAGTTTGAGTAGTTTTCAGAGTGCTATAAAACGCTGAAAAGAAAACATTATGGAACTTTTTCTTCTCCATATGTAATCTTTTACAGTGTTGATTTTATGTAAAAAAGTATGAAAACTTATGTGAGCAAAGTGTCGGTGCCAGCTCAGCTGGCACCCAGCTGGCACGGCGCCAGCTAATTCAGAAAAAAGTTCGGCACAGCTTTCATCCACATAAGTTTTCATAAAATTTGGGCCATAGTTCGGGACCATCAACGCGCATGCATACACCAAATTTGGTGTCATACTATTGCGTTTTGGCTGAAAACAACGCCTCTGTTTATTGATAAACAGCTTGCCGGTGGCATGCCGGCGGCATTTTTGCGACATTTCTCCGCCTCGGACCCTGTCAAAACGATATCCCCTTTGCTTTTCGCCCTAGAAACGACATCCAGCTTGACCCGGTGCCAGCTATGCTGAGCCCTGACATGGTGGTCGATTCGCTAGGTGATCCCATGTGGAAGACATTCAGTTACCATGGTTTTCGCTTCTTAACAACTGTGATCTTCAGATGCAGTGAGGAAGAAACATTGTGTATAAACCAAAAAGTTGATTGCATGTGTAGCCTACGAAGCAAAAGGTAGACACAATGTCTATTATATGGAGAAAACCCGAACGCCCTACATTCTTTAGATCAATAATAAAAAGTAAAACTATCTTTGTGCCAGTCTTTCAACTAGAATGTCAAATATAATATTTATAAGCATTTTTCAGGACATCATCAAGTTCGCTATGCATCTCCTGAGATGGCTTCTGGTAGCATTGCCAGCAACCTTCATAAACAGTTTGATCAGATATTTTGAAAGCATGTTAGGACTGGCATTCCGATCACGACTCACCCAGCACGCCTACAAGGAGTACTTTTCGGTGAGTAATTTTCCACAAGGCAAGAAAATTATATAAAAGCAAATTGATTGAAAGAATTTCTCCATATATTTTTTCTGTTAGTGTTTGGTAAGAAATTATCATCAGCTTTTTTATTTTTGTCAAAAACATGCACTAAAAGTTTGATGACGTCCAAAATAGATTTAGCCGATTCTAGAACAAAACGTACTACACGGTCTCCAACCTTGACAGTCGGCTGCAAAATGCCGATCAGTGTCTTACCGAAGACATAACCATGTTCAGTCAATCGGTTGCTCATCTTTATTCTCACCTTACAAAGCCAATCTTGGACGTTGCGCTCATATCGTGAGTGAATTCTTGTCCAATCGAGTGTTCAAAAAGTTTTTGCATTGTTGCAGGTTCACTCTGATCAGAATCGCCACAAGACGTGGGGCAGGAAGTAGTGTAATGGTGCCGAGTATCCTAGCCACGCTGGTCATTGGTGCTACAGCTACTCTTCTGCGGAAAATCTCACCAAGGTGATATATTTTGTATACTGAGGCTAAAGTTCACCAGAAACTTGATAAATGCAGGGTTTTCAAGATCAGCTTGTACGGCGAAAAACTTTTGTTGTTGTAGGAAAGTTAGATAATCAAACTGGACCCAGTGTAAATTGCAAATCAAAAATTTTAGAAGTTATAGACCAAAGAACTCAAATCCGCTTTTATTCTTGCTCCTCCAAAAGCATGATTCCATTACAACTGATTATGATTAGAGAAAAAGTGGAAGTTTTTTGAGAAAACGACACAGGATTAATGATGTCTAAACCATGTACGACTGCTCTCTCTTACATTTGCACGACCGGAGTAAGAATTATCGTTAAACTTTTCATAGAATCATTTTTTTTTTCAGATTCGGAAGTATGGTCTCAGAAGAGGCAAGGAGAAAGGGTCATCTGCGATATCTTCATTCTCGTGTGATCACAAATTCTGAAGAAATTGCCTTCTATGGAGGTCATATGGTAAGCGCAAGCTGTAGTGCTATTCTAGATGTTTTTAGACCAGCACCCAGTTATGTGTTCGTTTGTAGGCTGAGTATAAACAATTGAACAAGGCCTACGAAGAACTGAAAGAGCAAATGAAACTTATCTTCCGAAAGAGGATACCTTACATCACCATTGAGCAATTTTTGATGAAGTACGTATGGTCCGGCACTGGAATGGTCATGATCGCCTTGCCTATACTAGCTGCAGAGTATGGTTCTGACAGTGAGTCGTTGGTCCTGCCGTGATTTCTGGAAGATCTATAAAGCATATCTTTTACAGATGGTGGCAGACGACTTGACGATGAACCGGATGGTGGTGTTTCCGAAAGAACTCGTGGCTTCGCGACTGCCAAAAATTTGCTGTACTCGTCAGCTGATGCAGTTGAAAGACTAATGACTTCTTACAAAGAGGTAAGCATAAGCACGAACAGCTTCATCTAGGCAAACTATGATTTTGACTTTGCACTTTTAGATCGCAGAACTTGCCGGCTACACCGCAAGGGTGCATGAAATGTTTAGAGTTTTTACCGACGTTAAGAAAGGCAAATATCAGCGCACTCAAGTTGGAGGTGATGTGCAAGGAGGAAATAGAGGCGAACGATTGGACACATCCAGAATTGACGGTATGGACACTATTCATTGTGGGAGTGTAATAGTTTGACCAGTCCCATGGACAATCACTCCAAAAAGCGCTTTTTTGCAAGTTTCTAAAGTTATGCGAGTTAACTTTTGAAAGATCTAAGTGCATCCAAAGCAGAGAAGTTTCAGATTTTAAGGTAATTATGCGTTCATCTTTGCTGAACCGTAAACGTACGAAGTACTCAGGCATAAGTTCAAAAATTCAAGTAGTTAGTGTCCGAGTGCCGCATGCTGGTTGGAAAAGGGGAGTTTTTTCGTTTTTCAAGAAGTGAGACAATATTTGGAAAATTGTTAACAGCTATATAGCGCAAGGTTCGCTCTTGTGTCTATTTTTTTCTTTTCTGCAAGAGATGGGGATAGCTTTGCAAAAACTAGAGGATTTGAAGCTCTGGAGGTGTTTTGTCGATATGGAAATTATACTTAGGAAGAATGGACCTCAAAGAAAACTAGTGAAGGTGGGGGAAAGGTGGAGGAAGCTTTTGGATGATATCATCTGTTTTATCATTACTTGAGAGATGGCCATAAAAAAGCGCGGAAGCTTCAGCACAATTTGTAGAATCTAGTGCCGTTTTTATCTGCCTATTTATTACAGGAGAAAACTGAACAAGCTCTCTGTTTTCTTTGACAAACTCATAAGTACCAAACTTCCAGGTGAGGTGATTGAATCAGAGGACAACGCCATAGTACTTGAAGAGGTACCGATTGTGACACCAAATGGAGATGTTGTCGTGAGAAACATGACCTTGGAGGTGAGAGAGAAAAACAAAGCTTTCCAAACCTATGATGGCTGCTGCAGATCAGACCCGGAATGCATGTGCTGATCACAGGCCCGAACGGATGCGGAAAAAGCTCTTTGTTCCGATTGCTAGGAGGCCTTTGGCCGGTATATCGAGGCAAGGTGAAACGACCGTTCGTAGACCGAATGTACTACATTCCACAACGCCCCTACATGACCCTTGGTACACTGCGAGATCAGGTCGGGCTATTCTAACACTTATTAGCATCTGAGTTTTACTTCTTAGTTAAAGAGGGTAAAGTTAAGAACAAGATGTTTACAAAACGATGAGTTTAGGTTATCTACCCAGACACTGTAGCCCAAATGGAGGCTAAAGGATTGAGCGATGCGGATTTGGCAATTATCTTGAATGTGGTTCATCTTTCCCACATTGTGGAAAGGGAAGGAGGTAAGCAAAAAAATTTTGACTCTGCTTCCTAGATCTTCTCTATCCACATTGCACGGTTTTGTTTATTTACAGTATACCAAAGCTAACTTTGAAATCCTGCGCCATCATTTCCACTTGTTCCAAACATTATATTTTGAATTCCAGTACCTTTGATAGCCTAGAGACAGGGTCTTAAAAGTGAAGGTTGCTAGAATATCCGCTCCCATAAAGAGTGAAGGTTGTTTATATTATACAGGAGAAGTAATATATAAAAAACAAATAGCAAAAGCAAAAAAACTTTCAAAAACCGAGTAAAAAGCTGCAACAAGTTTGAAATCTTTCATTCGGCGGCATTTCGAATGGCAAGGTTTCGCTCCACTGGGCAATTCACAGCACGGGGGGAAAACGACGGAAAGCTAATTCATATTCTGTGTTTTAAACAACCAATGTCCTAGAGCGAAAACCTGCAACTCAAATGATGGGCGGGGCGCGACTTGGCCTCTGCAAGGCAGAATTCTATAAGTTGGTCTGGGTCGGTCGTATGCTCCGGTGACGGTTTACTCGAAAATAGTTCACGCGATTCAAAATTCTTTAGATTGAAAGTAGCTTCGAAAAAAATTGTTCTTTTGTTCAGGCTACGACCATTGAAAATTCAAAACGCATCCCATAATTCTTTATTCAAAATTATGTTGTCTATAATACGTGAAGTAGATACAGTACAGTACAGTACGTGAAGTATATACTCTTGGTACAATCACTCATAGCCACATCCCTATTGTTCCCCAATCATCATACCGATAAAATTTTTTTAGGCTGGAGTGCGAAAAATGATTGGATGGACGTACTATCGGGAGGTGAAAAGCAGCGTATGGGGCTTGCTAGAGTATTCTACCACAAGTCAGTTCAAAGTTAATTTTGCTCTACAGAACAGGTGAATACTAGTTTTTAGGCCCCAATACGCTCTCTTGGATGAATGTACTTCCGCTGTGTCAATTGACGTTGAAGGTAGCATTTATCAAGCAATCAAAGATGCGGGTATGACTCTTCTTACTGTCACTCATCGGCCAAGCTTATGGTAAGAAAATAAAAAAGGTAATTAAAATGTATCGATTAGTTTTTTCTCAGGAAGTTCCATACTCATGTGCTCCAGTATGATGGTGAGGGAGGATACAAGATGAGCTCCTTGAACGACACAACCATCGGCGAGCGGCTTACGCTTTCCGAGGAAAAAAGGCAAATTGAAGAGAAGTTGCACGATTTGACCCGGATGAGAACACGACTTGCTGAGCTACGACTTGTACGTTTTTTCTGGTTCAGTTTCCTCAAAATGTTATTTTTGTTATAGATGCTCGGTGAAGGAGCCACTTCAGCAAGCTCTGATGATGTTGAAATTACCGATACGTGATTTTTCTGTCAGATATTTATGTTTTTCATTTACAGAAACTCTTCAGTCATCAAGTGATCTATAGTCTTATATGCATGATGAAGCTAGTGTATGTACATTTTTGTAATAAAATCGAAGTATGAGGCTTCACTATCGGAACGTTTTTGAAGTCAGCTTGGTAGACATCAACACACCTTCAGTATCTGCACAAATTGTGCTAATTCTACGATTTTACAAAAAACACGAGCAAACGCAGTTAGTAGTACGATATTTAAATCTGAGAAAAAGGTTGAGATATAGTTAGCAGGAATCAAACCGATGGCATTGCAAAAAAAGAGGAGAAAGGGTACCACGTTGTCACTCAAATAAGGTGCATCACCGGAGAGACAAAAAACTATCAAAGCACTTATTGTTAGTTACTTGAATGCCTCGACGGAACACTTAGGAAAATCTGTGGGCTTTCCAAACGGTCATTACATATGGGTCATTGCATAAGTTTTTAGTGCTCTGATTTTACCTTGCAATACGGTGAAATGTGAGTGGCGTAGTTGCTTCTAATTTGCGCTTCTTTAAAAATCATATAAGTTTTTGATTATACGACACCGTCATTGGCTAAGAAAAACTGTTATATGCATAAGCACTATAGGAATAGGAATCTCATCTGAGAGAAAAGTTATAGCCAAGGATAGAGATGTGGTACTAGCTGGCATGCATGCCCACCTTCTCCTGCAACATGGGTTTAACTGGCTCGACTAAGAAAAATTGGTGCATCTTCAACTTATCTGCGTTTGGCTTCCTCTTCGTTCTCCTTTAAAGCAGGGCAGGCACTTCCTAACAGCGTCGCCTTGAATTACCGAATCTCCCTCATCGTCGAATGAGAATGAGTGCTACCGCTGTTGTTTACGCGAAAGTTGGAATTAGTCTGATAATGCATGCATGATAAAAATTCATTTTTTTAACTCGATAAATCAATAGAAGGAGTGGAATTTTCGCCAAAAGTAGTCTACGGGGTGGATCGGTGTCCAAACTATGGCCCGTAGTAAAGCTCGATCAGTTCAGGTGAACTGAACTTAACCCATCAGTTGAGCTTAGGTGAGGTGAACTGATGGCCGCCCACCTTCCCATGCATATAGCAGTTGCGGCCATCAGTTCACCTCACCTAAGCTCAACTGATGAACTGATAGCTGACCATCCGTCCACCTGCTGCGGTCAACTCTTGCACATCATTTCACGTTCACTTGAACTGAACGTTGTTAGCGAATGCAAATAGGAAACGCAGACAAGACTCCCGTGAGTTGCTCCTGAGTAACTTACGACACACATCACTTTACCTAACACTGCAGACAAAATCGGCGCAAAACTGCACAACTGCGCCCGAAAAGGAGAGGATCGATGAACAGCTGATTTTGGCGAGGAAAACAAAAAAAAACAAATTCTTCTCTTTTCTGTAAACTTTATTGATCATTTTAGAGCTGTCCAAAACGAGAACTCATTTGTTCGTTTCATTAAATTCAAGCTGCAATCATTTCGTTTTTTCGTATAATTGTTTTTGTTGTATCCTTGCATTTGCTAGGCGAAACCCTTGATAGCGGTCATCATCGATTGCGATAGTGGCCGCTATCAAAAATTGCCGGCGATGCAGCAAAAGTCGTACCGCTAGACGAAGTCGAACCATGGCCGTGCGCATGTAATTCCAATCGCTTACCCTTTTGACCAAACCGGCTCGAGCGGTTGACCTTTGATTCAACTGGCTTGGCTCCGAGGCGGGGTTTTGTGATCTAATTGAGGCCGCTCGCGGCCGCGACGCACCTGCGTCTCTCTCGCGCGAGTGCTCTTTGATTATTACCTAGCCTTAATTGGGTCACGAAGCCCCCCCCCCCCCTTGCCGAAGCCAAGCCAGTTGAATCAAACGGTAATTTTTCAAGAACACACTTGGTTATAATGTCTAGGAAGGCTGTTTCCCAGACCTCGTTTCTGGACAACTTTTTCCCCGTTAGACTTTCCCCTCTGAAAAGATTCAGCATATTAAGAAGCTATTTAAAAACTCTACGTATCGAAGTTTAGAACAAGCTTCCAGACTCATTCATTAAAAATTCATAGAGCTTCACATAACCGCACTCAAAATCCCCTGCCTTTAAGACTATACTCTACGTCGCATAACGATTTGTTGGTATTACCTCGTTCAATCTAAATTGTTGGTTGAATACTGACCTGACTTAGGTGCTTGGCTCAATTTCTGGTTCTTCCATCTTCAACGTCATTGAAATTACGAATATGACTTGACATAGTATATCTCTTACTCAGGGATGGGTGCAGTAACTTATCTCATTAAAACATCGCTAAAATGTTCTTGACAGCCTGACGCCTATATTGAAAATTCGCAGGGAAAGGTACAAAACAATGCATAGATCGCAACTGCAGATCGTAAATCAGAACTTGTTGTGTCGAATCGTGAATAGGTGCGTATCCGTATCCAACTTCTTAGATTACTCAGAACACATAAGAGAACACGACGAGCTGCAAACAATACTTTCATTCACTGTCACGTGCACTATTAATTTTGTTCGGTAAAGTTTCAATTTAGCGGATCTCTTGAATCATTGTTCTTCATGAAGTACTGAAGGAAGGTTGAACCAAATGAAATTGCAGAAGCGGCAACTGTGTGTTCGTATACCGAATTGCCATTGTTGCAAGCTATGCACCTCACGGGCTGCGTACTTCTTCACACTCCTGAATGTGCTCAGGGTCCTTTGCAACTGAGCAGGACTTCCAAATACCCCACCGCCACGAGTTTGCGACTCTATTCAATTAAGTTGTTTTTTCCTTGGAAAGTAACATTTCTAGAAGGGTCGAAGTAAGACTGCATATAAGCACCTTGACCGATTGCTGTCTACTGAAGAATGCTAGCGCTGCGTAAGTTGCAGTGTAATTTTCAGCAATTCACTAACGACGAGTTCTTTCTACGTATAGTGGAATCGCCACGAATCTTGCTTTCCATCATAATTGCTTGTCAAGGACAAAAACTGTGCCATTGTTCGCACATTTGAAACGATGTTTCTTTCACATTACATCCGCTAACATCGACACGGATCGTGATGTTCAAATTTTTTTGCTGAAGCATTACGGGTGCACATGCTTCCGAAACTTAAATGAATTTGCTAGAGTTGAGGGATGTGGTGATGTTGAGTTATCCTGCATCAGTTGAACATGGCTTTCACGTTAGAGTAACCTCTCCTCTTTGTAAGTAAAGTGTCTTTATGTAATAACATAACTTTTGCAATCCGCAGTAAAAAAGGATAGCGGCGACAGGGTCATCAATTTTGTAAAGAGAACAGCATCAAACGAATAATAAAATGTAAACGTTCGCGAAAAGTAAAAGCTGAGAGAGCAAAAGATGTTATGTCCAAAGATAATAAGCAAGAATAAAATTTAGACTTGCGATCAGATGTTGCTCTCTCAGACAAGCATTTCGATTATGGAATATCTACTTCATTGCTGCACCTCCTCACTCAGCGGTGTGTCACCTATTGTGGATTCTACCAGTGTATGCTCCATCCACTTTGAAGCTTTGGTTCTAACTTCTAACCCAAAAAGGTGACTGTGTGGACATCTGTTTTTTGTATTGCTTATAATGCGCAAAACATCCTACTTATTTGCTCCATGATTCGATCGGATTGAAGCAGCAGTGAAATGGTGGTAACCTAACCAGGTGCTGCTTTATATTTCTCGCAGACTTTCTCTACGACATGACAACTTAAAATGTAGCCGTGGGCTAATAAACTAATTTTACTATCAATTTGTGATAAGTTGTCCTTAATTCTATTGAGAGATCCTCTTTTGCGGATTTTGCTGGAACTGTTACCTTCTCACAGAAATCACTCTTTTATATGGCTCTGGCAACCTGCGTGGGCGTCCTAACGTCATTATTTAACAAAACAACTCTCTAAAGGAAACCTAGTGGCGACTGTGTCCGAATTGTGGGAATGATACGACTCATTATCCATTCGGTGTGCAAGGGTGTCATTCAGGGTGCTTTCCTTTGCCACACGTAACATGCAGGGCAAATTCCGAATCCCATCTTGAAAAATCCATGATTCATGTCCCTGTGTATGTTATCGTTAACAAGGCCACTACCGCTTGAAATCATCCTTGTTCACTTGGAAACCATGCCTTCCTTACTCATCGCTCTTATGGCAAGGGGGTCGTCTTTTTTGCAGAAAAGTCGACAGAGTATTTTAGGATTGTCTGCATCCGAACGGATTATGGAATTGGTACTTGTGGCCTCTCTTGAAAATGCAGTCGTATACCCAACTCTCGTCTATGAACGAGATTGCGATACTGCTCCGTGTGTTTCCGCCGTTCTCAAGCAATGGACCCTTCTTGACACAATATCAATTTTTTAAAAATATATCGCAGATGCTTGTGTTTATACGTGAGTCTTAAACTTCCTAAGTAGCAGTCGAAAGTTGTCTCTGCCATTTCAAACCTGAGAAATCATTCTCCATTTCAGAGCGTAACACTACAGTTACGCTCTTCTCTATGCAAAACTTTTCGTGATTAGTTGACGGGCTCCTTTTCCTCATTCCTGCCCAAATTGTCTTACATCTTTTTTCGATATTCGAGGATCCAATAGAGCACAGGTTGAGCTAGAGCAATTGACTGACAAAAACGTGCGTCGCGCTTATGTTCCTGACCGTACTAATGCACATTGCACAAGCAAATGCGTTCAGCTCTGTTAAGACATTGATATAGTCCCAGCGCAGTCTTTATTCAACCTTTGCTTGAAAAAGGCTTCAAAGTCCCAAATAGCTTTGGAAATGACTCGAGATATGGATGGCCTGAGATCATCACGGCCTCATCGGAAGAAATTCAAACACCGCAGGTTTAAGTTGCGCAGAAAGGCGTGGGTAATATTTGCATTCTATCAGAAATCGATCTAACTGTAAAACGGAGCCCAAAATTCCTTGTTTGAAACTCACTGGCGTTGGAATCCTACCTTCTTCTATCTTGTGTCTTCGGTC